ATGTTTTGATTTCCCCAAAATTAATGTTTATGTTTATGCCTAATTTTGACTTCACCATTTGATATTCTCTTCTCAGAAAGGGTTCCAGTTTATATAAGCCTCAGGTTCCCTAAACCATGGTTCTGCCCCGGATGAGAGTATATGTGCATGTGTGCGAAGTCATTTCAGTCATGTCTAACTCTTTGTGACCCCATGGATTATAGTCTGCCAGACTCCTCTGTCCATGGGATTCTCCAGGCAGGAATACCAGAATGGGTGGCCACGCCCTCCTCCAGGGGATCTTCCCCACCCAGGGATTAAACTCATGTCTCTCCTGTCACCTGCATTGGCAGGCAGGCTTTTTACCCCTAGCTCCACCTGGGAAGCCCTGGCTGAGAGCATACATGATTGGAAACGTTCTCAGAGATGATTCAGATCCAGAGCTCACCTCCATCAGCGCACCTGCTGTGTTTTGTGACGAAGGCTCAGCACAGCCAAAGAACCTTTGGGAAGGAGAATACAACCCCAGGAAAACTCTGCATAGCTTCTACGGGTGAAAAAAAGGGTCAATTCACTGCATTTTTGGCATTCGACACTCATTTACTGAAGATCTTCTACATACACCAGGCACTGGGATGCAGGTGAATAAGAGGACACAAGTGAGAGAGATGGATGCGGAGGAGAAATCCATTTAGAGCCGGCACCCCAGCAGGGCACAGCCTCGGGGAAACTCTCATCTTCCAGTCACTATCATTCAATCTGGCTCCGGGGTCCCCTTCCCTCCCCTTCCCTGCGTGATGTCCCAGGCAGGCAGCATGTCTAGCTCCCTTTAAGACACAGGAACAGTGACTGGAAGTCTGATCCAGGTAATAATCCAAATGCTCAATTTCACTCCAAGTGTCTCTGTCCACTAGTTCTGTGGTGGTGGAAGGGAGAGGTTGGGAGTTATCTCCAGGGACTCTCCCTCCCTTCTTCCATCTCCCACTCATCAGCCAGGGTAATTGATGAGAAATGTGGATGGGGAGGGGTAAGGAACAAGGATGAAGGAGCAACAAGGATCTTATTTGATTGCTTCAGTAGTGATCTGACATTGGGGTCCAATAGCTAACTACCACTTGGGCCACTTCTGTGGATTTCTTGGAAAACCCACAAGGATTTCTGCTGCAAAGCTTCTGACTCAGGGTTGCCAGATAAAATACAAAATGCCTAATTAAATTTGAAGTGCGGATAAACAATAAATACCTTTTTTAAAGTGTATCTCTATTTGAGATATTACACGTGACACTGAAAACGCAGGAAGAGCCCATTCATTGTTTACCTGAAATTCAAATTGTAATGGCCACCTTGTATTTGTATTTGCTAATTCTGGTAGTTTTCAGTGTGAGGTCAGGGTGTGTGTGTTGGGGAAGGGCTTGCAGTAGCCCTCAGCCTCTGGCTTTCCAGCGGTCCATCCCTCTCCGCTGGGTCCCTTTGTCAGCCCTCCCCAGGCAGCTCTCTTGGGTAGGGTCCCTTTCTCTTTTTTTCCATTTATTTTTATTAGTTGGAGGCTAATTACTTTACAATATTGTAGTGGTTTTTGCCACACATTGACATGAATCAGCCATGGATTTACATGTGTTCCCCATCCTGATCCCCCCTCCTGCCTCCCTCCCCATTCCATCCCTCTGGGTCTTCCCAGTGCACCAGGCCCGAGCACTTGTCTCATGCACCCAACCTGGGCTGGTGATCAGTTTCACCCTTGATAGTATACTTGTTTCAGTGCTGTTCTCTCAGAACATCCCACCCTCGCCTTCTCCCACAGAGTGTAAAAGTCTGCTCTATACATCTGTGTCTCTTCTTCTGTTTAGCATATAGGGTTATCGTTACCATCTTTTTAAATTCCATATATATGTGTTAGTATGCTGTAATGTTCTTTATCTTTCTGGCTTACTTCACTCTGTATGATGGGCTCCAGTTTCATCCATCTCATTAGAACTGATTCAAATGAATTCTTTTTAATGGCTGAGTAATATTCCATGGTGTATATGTACCACAGCTTCCTTATCCATTCGTATGCTGATGGGCATCTAGGTTGCTTCCATGTCCTGGCTATTATAAATAGTGCTGCGATGAACACTGGGGTACACATGTCTCTTTCAGATCTGGTTTCCTTGGTGTGTATGCTCAACATAATAAAAGCTATATATGACAAACCCACAGCAAACATTATCCTCAATGGTGAAAAATTGAAAGCATTTCCCCTAAAATCAGGAACAAGACAAGGGTGCCCACTCTCACCACTACTATTCAACATAGTTTTGGAAGTTTTGGCCACAGCAATCAGAGCAGAAAAAGAAATAAAAGGAATCCAGATAGGAAAATAAGAAGTGAAACTCTCACTGTTTGCAGATGACATGATCCTCTACATAGAAAACCCTAAAGACTCTACCAGAAAATTACTAGAGCTAATCAATGAATATAGTAAAGTTGCAGGATATAAAATTAACACACAGAAATCCCTTGCATTCCTATACACTAACAACAGAAAGAGAAATTAAGGAGACAATACCATTCACCATTGCAACAAAAAGAATAAAATACTTAGGAGTATATCTACCTAAAGAAACAAAAGACCTATACATAGAAAACTATAAAACACTGATGGGTTGGGTCCCTTTCAAGCAGGCTCCAGGAAGTCTCCCCAGCTCATGAGCCTCATCAGGTCCATGGAAACCACACACCTTTGTCTCACTGCCTTTGGGGACAGGGTTGTATTGGCCCCCACTTCTCTGACCCATCCTTACATTTTCCCAGACACTTACAGGTACAAGGAACGTTCCCCTTGAAGTCCTTCTGGCTCACCTGGAGGTGAAGGGAGGCTGCCGTTCCCCCTCCCCAATGGAAGGGCAACAGGAATGTGCAGACCCAGCCTCCAGCCAACCCTCTCTCTCCACAGAAACCCTCTGACTTGTCCTTCAGAGGCTGGAAGTGGGGAAGGGCTGAAGCTGACAGAGGAAGTTTCACCTTCTTCTAGCTTGACCTACGTGGGGTCTTGGCACCTGACTTGGTGACGGGGCTTCTCTGACTTTGAGGCCTCTGCTGAAACTTCTGTGTCTCAGGGGAAAAGTCCCGGTTAACATCCAGTTATATGACCTTCTTATGAGTGACGGGCAAATGGGGTACAGTGGGAGCTGGGGAAGAACTCATTTAGCTGGGTCTGGGGCAATCAGGAAGGGCTTCCTGGAAGAGAAGCCCCCCAGCAGGCCCTCATCCAGTGCTGCTCAAACTTTAAAGTGCCTGTGATCCCCGGGACTGGAAAAAAAGCAGATTTGCACAGATATACACCCTATATATAAAATAAATAAACCACAGGATTCACTGTTTTTTTACTGTAGCACAGGGAACTACGTCCAATATCTTGTAACAAACTATAATAGAAAATAACCTGAAGCTGTACGGCTGAAATAACACAGTATTGTAAATAAAAAAAATTTTAAAGGGCAGATTTGACTTCTATAGTCTAGGGTGGGGCCTGAGACTCTGCATTTCCTGCAACTCTGCCGCACTCTGAGCAGAGAGGGGGTTGCTCAGCCCCTGACGGGGAGGGCTGGCACTGCAGGCAGAAAGGCAAGTGTGAACACAGAGGAGGAGTTCAGGGTGGGTCAACGTGCCTTTGTAGATCCAGCCTGCAGGTCAGAGGCTGAAAGGGACCCAACCACACTGGTGAGAGGGGGATGCTGGGAACGTCTAGAGGGGTCCCGACTACACCTGGTAAGGCTAGAACAGGACAAGCAGGCTGAGTGGGTTCTAACTGTTAGATCCTGTAAAAAAACCACTTTATGAGCAAGCCTACATAACTGCATTTCACAAAGGTGAGTGAGCTTTAATTATGCAGTGAATCTGATGGCTTGACCACAAAGTGCCTGGGACACATGCATTCAAATCTTACTTTGGCCAATGCCAGCTGGCCCTGGCTCACTGTAGCTCACACACCTCTGTACCTCTCAACTTGCACAGGAGATGTGAGTCTTCTGCAAAAGGTCTACCATCGCAATGTGACTTCTAGCATAGGGTCAGCAAATCATATTGCCTCACCTAGACTGTGGGAGGCAGAATGTGGGTCCCTCACCAATGCAATGCAAGAGATATACGTCGTGGTTTCAATCCCTGGGTTGGGAAGATCCCCTGAAGGAGGGCATGGCAACCCACTTCAGTATTCTTGCCTGGGGAATCCCATGGACAGAGGAGACTGGCGGACTACAGCCCATGGGTTCGCTAAGAGTCGGACATGGCTGAAGCGACTTAGCACACACCTACAGATGTCCACGCCCTAATCTCCAGAACCTATGAGTGCTACCTCACATGGCGAAAGGGACTCTGCCAGTGTGATTAAGTTAAAGCTTTGAGAGGCGAGGAGAGGAGAGGAGAGTCACCTGTGTTATCCAGCTGAGCCCAATCTAATCTCGTCTGTCCTTAAAGGTGAAGAACCATTCCCAGCTGTGGACAAGGCGAGAGAGGTCAGGGAGGTGGCAGGAGGAGAAGCCCTGACACTGGCTCTGAGATGCAGTGGCTCAGGTATAAGAAGCAGAGAGAAGCCTCGAATTGCTAAGGACAGCCCCCAGCGGACAGCCAGCCGGGAAGTGGACATTCAGTCGCACAACCCCAGGGAACTGAGTTCTGCTCACGGCATGGCCAGGAAAGCAGAGACTCCTCTGGAGCCTCCGCAAAGGAACCCAACCCATGTCGGTCTCCTGACCTACTGAACTGTATGTAAACTGTGTTGTCTGAAGCACCAGATTTGCTGCAAAGACCTGGAAAACCAAGGCCCTGCCAGGAGACTTCCCCCAATCCCGGTGAGGGGAGAGCCTCTGGCCTGATGCTAGGAAGAGCTTCCCTGTGCTGTCACACCCAAAAGCTGAAACTCCCCAGATGCAGCTGTTTTCTGAGAACAATGAGTTGCTTGTCAGCCTGAGGGAATGGGATGACAAATCCGCTTTGCCAAAGCCCTGAGTGCCGGGGCAGGCCCTCCTCCGCACCGCACAATGGTCCTTGAAAACCGGCCTGCAGTCCTGCTCCCCGTCTGGCTCATGTGTCTTCTAGCTTTGTCCAGAAAGCCCTCTCAGTTCTGCTTCGGGAGCAAAGCTGTGTGGACACAGCACATGGAGCACTCACACATCTCCCTCAGTGGCTTTGGAGAGGGACCCCTGCCTGGGTATGTTGATGGCGCCTTCATTAAACCCATGGGCCAGTTAGGGCAGCAAGGATTTGGAGCTGATCTAGCCCAGTCGTGTCATTTTACACGGAAGGAAGGAAGGGGGAGAAGGAGGAAGCTGGAGTGAACAGCCAGAAAAATCCCTCTTCCAGTGGCAGGATTCCAAGGGATGGCGTGACATGAAAATTAGAAGGCGAGGAATGTTGAGAGCTACCGGATGCAGTGCCATCATCCAAGAGGGCATCCCTGAGGGCCAAGAAAACCACAGAGCCCCCGGACCCCCCGGGCTCAGCGAGTCCAGCAGTCCGGATGGGCACTTAGTGGGCGGGGGTGGGCTGGGACAGGGCTTCGGTGGCCTCTGTCACCTCTCCAGCAAGAGACCATGTGAGCAAGGTCACCGCCAGATAGACAGAGCTGCCCGCACCTCCGAGTCCAGCTTCCCAGAACCGTCAATCTGTACAAGTTGCTAAGTGGACACACTGTTTCTTCCACACTGCAGATTGTTTTCTGAAGGTTGCCTTAACCTAAAATAATTACTTCACCCAACAGTGACTGTCGTCTCCCCTCTGCCAGGCACAGAGCATTCTGACTCTCCCCCTTGAGCCCCGTCCCCCTGGACCCAACCTCCCAGCCTGACACAGGAAGCGGCCTCTCCTGGCCTCTGACCTCTTCTTTCTTCCAGGATCTATTTTTGATTGTCCTCCTTGGCTCAGTAAATACGTGGAGAATTCCAGGCCGGCCTCACAGGCAGACACCACCCCTCCCCCACCTTGGCCTGGGATGAGGCCGGATCTTGGCCCCCGGAATAAAGCTGCAGGCCAAGCTCTGTAGGGGAGGGCGGCAGACGGTGAGATCCACGAAGACTGAGTGCAAGCACTGCTCTCTGGAGCAGTCAGCCCCCAGCTAGACTGGGATGACAACCCTGACCTCCCATCATGAGGGTCCCCAGTTTTCCTGAAGTAGCCTCCGGCCCGGCAGGGCCACTCCCTGCCAGCCCGCGATGATTCATGCCATTAGTGCCGGAACTCCTCTGAAATGGCTTTTCATGCGGTGTGTTCAGAGCAAGGCCTCTGCCACCTGCAGCGGGTCTGTGCGGAAATGCGGGGAAACCGCAGAGAGTTTATTTCTGTCACCCATTGTTAGCTAAGAATATCCAGGTGTTCTAATAACCGAGCACAGGAAAGCCTATCAGATGGTGGAAAGGATGCTGAGCTCAGGATAAGGAAAACAAGCCCCTGGACCGAGCTCAACGGTCTCAGCAAATCTCTTGTACGCAGTTCATTGGCCTCACTTTCCTCCTCTAGGAAGCAAAATGAGCCTTTGCTCTGCAGACCTCAGAGGGCTGTGAGGACAGCCCAGGAGGAGAGAGTGTGCGTGTCCACCTTCTCTCAGGCCCCAGCGGCCAGGGGACGGACGAATTCACGGTACAGGTACAGGTACGGCATCTCATGCCCCCCCCCCCCCGCCCCCGCCCACCATGGAAGCTTCACCAGAGATACCTGGGGAGCCTGGTGGCTCAGATGGTAAAGCATCTGCCTGCAATGCAGGAGACCCAGGTTCGATCCCTGGACGGAGAAGATTCCCCTGGAGGAGGGAATGGCTACCCACTGCAGTACTCTTGCCCAGAGAATTCCAGGGACAGAGGAGCCTGGTCGGCTACAGTCCACCGGGTCCCGAAAGAGTCAGACACACCTGAGTGACTAACACACTGGCAGTGTCTCAGGAGAACCGCCCCCCATAGCGCCTGAGACGCTCTCCATTCACGTACCCTTACGCCCCAGGAAAGGTTAAATTCCAGGGTTCTCAAAGCTGCAAAACCCAAGAGGTATCAAAAAGGATCTGTCCCCTCTGAGATCCCCCTGCATCCCCACTCCCTCTCCCTCCCAGCAGGATGACACCTGAAGGCAGGTATGCCAGGGACCCAGGAACCCAAGCTTCAGGCCAGGCCAGGGGACACAGCCATGCCAAGGGTGGGGGTGCAGGACTAGGCCCTGGGCTGAGGCCTCACACACGCGCCCACTGAGTCACAGGGCTGCCCCAAGATGAGCTTCACCCCCAGCCTTGTTTTACCGAGGTCACTCAGCTAGGGACAGTAGCTGCCAGGGCCAGGTGGTGAATGTCATTTTGACTACTTAGCATCTAGATACACTTTAAATATATATATTTGACTTTACCAGGTCTTTGGGGGCTTCCCTGGTGGCTCAGTGGTAAAGAATCTGCCTGTAATGCAGAAGATACAGGTTCCATCCCTAGGTCAGGAAGAGCCCCTGGAGGAGGGCCTGGCAACCCACTCTAGTACTCTTGCCTGGAGAATCCCATGGACAGAGGAGCCTGGCTGACAGTCCACAGGGTCACACAGAGTCGGGCATGGCTGAAGCGACTAAGCAAGCACGCATGTACCAGGTCATTAGTTGAGGCATGCAGAATTCTTACTTGCTGCATTTGGGATCTAGCTCCCTGACCAGGGATAGAACCCAGGCCCCCTGCATTGGGAGTGCAGAGTCTTAGCCACTGGACCAGGGAAGTCCCTGGATATATTTAATACTTATTCTATGCTTTCTTCTATAAGTTTTATAGTTCTCTTTTTAAATTTATACTGTTGAAGTATATTAGTTTACAATGTTGTGTTCATATCTGCTGTACAACAAAGTGATTCAGTTATATATTATATACATATATACATCATTTTTCATATTCTTTTCCATGATGGTTTATCACCGGATATTGAATATAGTTCCATGTGCTGTACTGTAGGACTTTGTTGTTTATCTATTATAATCGTTTGTATCTGCTCACTCCATACTCCCAATCCATTCTCCCCCTACCCTCTGCCCCTTGACAACCACAGATCTGGTCTCTACCTCTGTGAGTCTATTCTGTTTCATAGATAAGTTCATTTTTCTCTTTTTTCTGGCTGCCCTGTGTGGCTTGTGGGATCTTAGTCTCCAACCAGGGATTGAACCCAGGTCCTTAGCAGTGAACGCTCAGAGTCCTAACCACTGAACTGCCAGGAGATGTCCTGTGTCATATTTTAGATTCCATATATGATGATATAATGTATTTTTTCTTTCTCTGTCTGACTTACTTCACTTATTATGATCATCTCTAGGTCCATCCATGTGGCTGCAAATGACATTATTTCCTACTTTTTATGGCTGAGTAATGTTCCATTGTGTATATGTACCGCATCTTTACCCGTTCATCAGTCCGTGGACATTTAGATTGTATTCATGTCTTGGCTATTGTAAATAGCACTGCTATGAACATGTATCTTTTTTTTTTTTTTTTTTGGCTGGACTGGGTCTTTGTTGCCGCCAGGAGGGCTTTCTCTAGTTGCCCTGCACAGGCTTCTCATTTTGGTGATCTTCTTGTGGAGCAGAGGCTCTAGGGATGCGGGCTTCAGTGGTTGTGGCACAAGGGCTTATTTGTTCTGTGGTTTGTGAAATCTTCCCAGACCAGGGATCGAGCCCAGGTTCCCTGCTTTGGCAGGTGGGCTCCTATCCACTCTACTACCAAGGAAGTCCTGTATCTTTTTGAATTAGAGTTTTGTCTGGATATATGCCCAAGAGTGAGATTGCTAGATCACATGATAGTTCTATTTTTAGTTTTTTCGATGCACCTCCATACTGTTCTCTATAGTGGCTGTACTAGTTTACATTCCTACCAAGAGATAAGAGGGTTCTCTTTTCTCCACACTCTCTCCAGTATTTATTATCTGTAGACTTTTTAATGATGACCATTCTGGCTGGTGTGAGGTGGTACCTCATGGTAGTTTTGATTTGCGTTTCTCTAATGATTAGCGATGATGAGCATCTTTTCATGTGCCTGCTGGCCATCTGTATGTCTCCTTTGGAGAAATGTCTTTTTAGGTTTTCTGTTCATTTTTCAACTGGGTTGTTTTTTTGCTATTGAATTATATAAGCTGTTTGTATATTTTAGAAATTAGGCCCTTGTCAGTTGTATCATTTTGGTTGTTCAAAACTTTGACCCTTGAGGGAGACAAGCCAGGACATAAGGCCCATAAGGGGTTCTATGAAGTGGCTTGAAGTGCTGTGACAAGCACGTCCCCCCCACCATGTAGCTGGTCCCCAGGCCACCTCTTGAGGCGCCTCTCCTCCTCTGGTCCTGGCCCAGCCAGCCCCTCCCACCACCCAGTGATTCTGTGAATTACCCATTGATCCTCATGTAAATTCTCTCCTGCTTAAATTAACCAGAAACAGTTTCTATTTGCATCTAAATCCCAGACTGCTACAATGCTGAATTCAAACCCTGGTATCTCTTCCTGAAAATCCCATGTGCTTTCTAAACTACCATTCATGATACCCTACCAAAGCTCATACAAATAAGACATCACTGGTATTACAGTGCTTTACACTGGACAATATTCTCATGAAATAAGTGATAGGGTGGTGGTAACTCTGGGAAAAAGCAAGCTCAAACCAATTATAGCAAGTTTTGAAAGGGAAAGAGCTACTCAGGTCAGGAAAGCAACAGTGTAAATAGGAACCACCCAGCTGGGTGATGGGATTCTACCATCTGAATTCAGCTGTAGTTTTGAAAAACTTCCTTTATGGTTTGTGTATGGTCATTGTTATGGAACCTTGAATTTGTAAGCCAGAAAAGACCTTAAAAATCATTTATCTTATTCACGTCATTTCACAGTTAAGGAGACTGGTGCCGAGTCAGGTTACAAGACTTGTGTCACCTTATACACCAAGGTAGTGGCAGAACCAGGACTGGAGGCAGGGCAGGGGGGTGGGGTGGGGTGGAATGGGTTCTCTCCTCCCTGACACATCACCATACTGGAAAGGGTGATGAAAATAACCCTGAAATTCAGAAGGTAACCCCCATAAAGAGTGGAAAATAGAGTATTAGTTTAATTATCTAAGAAACCAAATTGGGCATTTGAGCACGTTACATTCATAATAAAAAATGAAACAATTTTTTTTTTAAGGTCTTGTTTCTGAGGTATTATCCCCGGATCTGGGGTTGGTGTGGCT